AAAGCTGAAATGGGAGGTATAGCATTTTATAAACCTTATTGTTTTTATGAAAACCTTTATTTGAACTGTAAAGTTGACTTTTTCCGTGTTTTAAGTGCTATAATCGGGTCCCTGGTGCATCTACCAACATAGTGTATATATATTTTTTTGGTAAGCCTTTCTCTGCAAGCTTGTGAAAAACAATAAAAAAAATAAATAAAAATGTCGCTCCCCTTGTGATGTAGAAAGGGGATCTTATTATAATATTACCGCCCCTTAATCTGCAAGTTTCCACCCACGGTCCCATCATTGTGTTTTCGCAAGCGACAACGGTGTACCAGTTCTAACACCATTGTGAAAGTTCAAGCAAAGCATGCTAACTCTTCTGTCTTTGGCTGCACAGATGAGAGTCCCAGCCTCAGAGGAGACAAGAGAGCAGTGGGTTTATTGATTTATTTACTCTATATTATGCTGCCGCCACACAGATCTAATATGAACGTGATTTCTTTCCCAGCTGTTTACCTTCTCGGACATAACCGACTGTTTTTGTAACTCGCGTGTGTTTCTAACATAAACTTGTGAGTATTTGACAGTTTAAGCGCAATAAGACACGAAAGAGAACCTAGTTTAGTACTCGCATACCTGTGACAGCTGCTGTCTGTGCGCGTTCTTCGGAAAACCCTATATCAGAAGTTTAAACGAATATGGTTTAAAACGCATGATTTCAGCGTGATAGACATGATAATCAAAACCAAACAGATGTTATTTGCCGGAATATCTGAGGTACGAGCTGTAAAGGCACCGCCCTATTCTGGAAAAGGGGTTGAGGAACAGCAGCTCATTTGCGTTTTAAGAGACATGCACAAAAACGGCCTGTTTAAATGGTTTGTGCGGAATTTTAAGCTGAAACCTCATAGACACCTGATACTTGTATTAAAAGTGCATAATTGGTCTCCTTTAAATTATGGTTTTTACAATCATTTTACTGTTTAATAGGTTACCATGGGCATTTCCCTTTTCTCTAGTATGATAATTTTATTTGAATAGGTCTTAAAAAGCCATATATTAAATTTTTTTAAATCCTGTGGATACCCTGGACTGGTTTATTCATCCAGATTTTCCCAAATTGTTTGACATTCCACATTATACATTGAATTCCACTTTTATGACTGGATTCCACAACTCTGTCCACAGTTTCCACGTCGTTGAAGTCTATGTAATAAGTACTTTAGGATTGTAAGATGTGAATCGGACAATGTTTTCGAATGACAAGTAATTAATTTTAAATACTCACATCAGTTAGTTTTTTTTTGCAATTAATAAAGGTATTCTTAAAAAGAACAAATATAATTGGTTATTGTTTATCTAGCACACCATACATTGTGGCTTTTGTTTTTTGAAAGTGTGATTTGCAGTGTGGGTGTGTAAATGAACGCTCTAAATCTGGCAAATAATAAAACTCATAATGGTAGTTTCTTAATAGCCCCCTTTTTTGCTTAAAAGATTATGCCATGTCAGTGTTAATGTCTTCACATTTCCGACCCTTTATCTCTCTAGTGTCAGTTGCTTGGAAACAGTACGAGAGAGATTTGAGATTCTCATTTTTTTGTTCTTATTCCGCATTAGTGTAAAATCATTAAATCACAGTAGTCAACATTTGAAGTGGATCAAAACCTTTCATCAAAGTTGTCCTAAAACCAAACCGTCAGTGTGGGACACACACACACACACACCGTAAGTCGATCAGGACACTGTCCGCATGAGACGTGCTTTAAGCCGTAACTGTAGATCCAGTGCTGGGACAGAAGACACAAGAGACATTCAGCAAGCAGAGCTGTGGGTTGAACTCTTTGAACGTCCTGTATTTTTAGGGCTGCAGTCCCCAAAGGTGCCAAAGGTGGTTTGATGACACCTCTGCGAAACAAACAGGCACTGCGGCCGGCCGAAAGCTTCGATGATCTCTCCAGGGGCGTCTTCACCATGCTGTGCTACCTGGGCCCTCACCTGTCCCACGACCCCATCCTGTTTGCCAAGGTCGTGCGACTGGGCAAGAGCTTCATGAAAGAGGTGAGGACTGACACTAGAGTTGGCTGATATATCTGCTATTATATATTTGAGCAAACCCTTGAGAGGTAGCCTAATAAGATCACTAGCCTAATAGAAGCCGTAACACAACAAGTAACCAAGTAGCTTGGTGGAAAGCTAGTTAATAACGCTATATAGGACAAGCAGTTTGGATGATGTATGGATAGATGTTTTAGTGGTGATGCAACAGCTATCTAAAATCTGCACTGGCTGTATGATGGTTGTATGTGTTGTTAGCTCATGTAGAAATGGTTCAGCAGCACTTCAGGCTGCTGTAGATTCTGCTTTGAAAGCCAGGTAGATGGACTTTCTCCAGTGTTATTACAGTGTTGTTTTTGTGTATTTTTTAGTGGGCAGAGAATGTAACGGTGTGTCCCAGAGGTTGATGAGGTCTATATCAGAACTGTATTAGCTCTTGGCTCATTTTAATCTAACCTGCGTGAGTTCTGTAGTCTCACTTTATTGTTGGTTAGCCTCTATTGATCACTGTCTGTCTGTGTGTGTGTGTGTGTGTGTGTGTGTGTGTGTGTCTGTCTCTCTTTCTTTCAGTACCAAAATGAAAGCAGGCAAGACACCAAGGACAAAATGGTGAGTCATGGAAAGTCCTGTGTGAGAGTGTAAAGTTGTATGAAGAACAGCACAGGTTTCTGGCTTTTTTTGGTTGTTTGTTTGCTAAATTCTAGAAGATCAGCTCTGACTGTAAAGTGTATTTGACATTTTTCTCACCCAGTTTAAACTTAATTTAAACCTAATAGATTCTTCCAAACAAATGATCTGTTAACCATTTTAGCATTTAACACTAACATTGAACAGCTATTAACTTTATTAACTTTGTTAACTTTATTAGTAATTGTGTTTGATTACTGGATGCTTTGAGCCGTATTTGCCCAAATTGCCCAAATTGCTCCTGTAATGGCCAAATGAGTTTTCTTGAGGGATTTAAAGCTATAAATCTCAGCTGAGGGACAGAACCTGAGGAAGGTCATCATGGCGATAACATCGACAACAGCAAGATTAAACAGCATAGAAGTGATAAAAGAGGGGGGGTGGAGTTAGGAGGGAAAACAAATAACGATTCCTAACACCGTGTCTACACCGGACGCAAGCGGCGCGTCGTGAGAAAATACTATAGAACCACTGATCTATAATAGAGATTCATTATATATAGATCAGTGTATAGAACTCATTGTAATCAGTGATGCTGTCTACACTGGATGCGGCGCGGCACCTACATTAAACAGTGTGGCATAAATGCCACTTCAGATGCAGCTTCTGTGTTTCCTCTGCACTGCAAAGATGAATTTTGTTGATACTGATTTCTTTTGCTTGGAAACAGCCCAAATGCCTTATTATTCTAATTGACTGATTAAATGTAAGAATTTGACTCAAAAGATGATGCACACTTTTAGAAATAATGGCTTTATGAAGGTAAAAATGCTCATGAAAGGTAAAAGTCAATTAAAGATTAATTTCTATCACCATCACACAGAATATAAAGAATATCAAAAACTTTAGAAGTCAGATGTCCACGGTAGTCCTTAAGATATCAGCGCAATAACAGCAACTCAGCAAAATATCGTTATCGATAAAATCCCAGAAAATATTGAGATATCTTTTTTGTCAATATCGCACACCCCCAGTCTGTGTTAATGCTATTGAGTAGGCTAATATGGCCAAAGATATTTTGTTTTATAAATAAATGTTCATTTAAAAGCAGCCCACGATCAGCGTGTTATGTTACCGTTAACCCTTACGGCTCCGACGGGGCTTTGTTCCATCCCCCACGCTGTGACAACTCACAAAAGACCATTTTTAGCCAAGCAGTGCGGAGAGCCGCTTCAGAAACGTGCCGCGGCTGGCCGGTATAAACACAAGCATTAGAGCGCCCGCGATCAGCTCCGGTTCCCGTGGAGCCGTAACGCGCCGCAAGACATACACGACAAATAGCGAATATTTCATTTTCACGAAACGTCATAGCATTTCCACTGCAGCGCTACCAAATCATTTATGTCCCCACACATCATGTACATCCTCACGCGTTGACGTCCTCAAATCGCGATCGGTTCGTGAGATCGGCCAAGTGTAGTGAGTACCGATCGAGTCATAAAATGTGATTATCGGCCGATACCGATTTCCGGCCAATCGATCGGAGCATCCCTACATACAGGTTTAGAAGGTGAGGAAATAATGTCAGAATGTTCATTTTTGAGTGAACTATTTATCTAACAAACCTAGCTTAACATTACCTAACTAACTTCTAGATCCTCGCTGCTGAGGAAATTGCTGAAATCCCTGTTTCTATGGTAACAGCTCTTATTGGTGGGTCTCCGCACAGAATTATGGGTAGTGTAGTTTAATTTCTTCAGATGAAGATTGTTTTAATGTTTTAATTTTAGGTATGACATCTGATTTGGTTTTGATTTTGATAGGAACATAAGCAATCTACTTAAATTATCCATTTTTATAATTGCAGACAAGACCTATCATGAGCTCTGAGGTTGTTCCATTGTGTTTTTTCCTCTGCAGTTTCTTAACTCCAGCCATTGCACTTAGACAATGTGTAGATTTAGGATGTTACATCAGTGCAACTTTAAAGGCAGTTCTCCTTGAACAAGGTTTATGTTGCCCTGTGCGTGTGTGTGTGTGTGTGTTCAGTCCCCTGTGCATAGAGATGAGCTCTTTGAAAGGGCTTGCAGAATTGCTGCATCCGATTCTTTGCTTTCTTTTCAAGTGTGTTGAATAAATGATGATATTTTGGCAGATAATTGGATGGAGAGGGAGCGAGCGGAGAATGAGCTGAGGCTAAACACGTCAAAAGTGTTCAGGGAGAAAGAGAGGGAAGCTCAAGGTCGCCTGTCAAACGGGCCGAGTCTGTGTCAGACTGCTCTCAACCGTTTAGTCTCTCATTGGATGCTGTTTGTAGCTTGTGCAGGTAGTTTTGCGTTTTTCAAGTGTTGAATTGATAGATGAATATGACCGGACTAAGGTTAGATTTTACAACATTTCATTCTGTTTTTCTTTACACATAAATATTATTATATTTTATCCAACATGTTTTTTTTTACTCTTCGTCACGCTTTTTTTTTATGGTTTGCCTTAATTTTTCCTGTTTAGTAGTTTGCTTTTAATCGATGTTGTAGCCTGAGGCTGCAGAAATCTGAAAGACATCACATCGAGGACAGAGAGGAGCCAGTATGGTTGGAGTCGTGTGAAGGAAATAAATATTTGTTGCTCAAGGTCGCCTGTCAAACGGGCCGAGTCTGTGTCAGACTGCTCTCAACCGTTTAGTCTCTCATTGGATGCTGTTTGTAGCTTGTGCAGGTAGTTTTGCGTTTTTCAAGTGTTGAATTGATAGATGAATATGACCGGACTAAGGTTAGATTTTACAACATTTCATTCTGTTTTTCTTTACACATAAATATTATTATATTTTATCCAACATGTTTTTTTTACTCTTCGTCACGCTTTTTTTTATGGTTTGCCTTAATTTTTCCTGTTTAGTAGTTTGCTTTTAATCGATGTTGTAGCCTGAGGCTGCAGAAATCTGAAAGACATCACGTCGAGGACAGAGAGGAGCCAGTATGGTTGGAGTCGTGTGAAGGAAATAAATATTTGTTGAGCTCGATGTGAGGATGTAGCCTTGAATGTGAAAGCTTGCTACAAAAGAGGCTCTATTTGGTCAGATTTAGCAACAAAATTGTGCCATATTTATCCTAAACATGTTTCTAAAAATGTCAAACATCTTATATATTAATACATTTTGATGTTTAAATCTAAATAAACCATTAAATCCATTTATTATTCACATTTAAATGTGAAAAAATCCAAAGTATTTTCTTTTTATTTAGATATGAAAAATTAAGTAATTAAATGTAAAAAAAAAAAAAGCTTTATTGAACTACTAAACATTTTTAACATGAACCTTAAATGTATTAATTGAAAGCATTAACAATACAGTTATAAACAAGTGAAATTTTGAAATTTAAATGCTTTATTTAAGCAGTTTTTACTCCGTTTGACCCATTGGAAGCTATTTGTTGCATGCATTACTTTCCATTCGGTGACTGTGTGTGTGCTGTGAGGCGAGGTGTCAGACATTAGCGGAGTGTGTGTGCTGTGAGGCGAGGTGCAGGTGGTGTGTTCGACTGCAGTGCTGCTGCGGAGGATCTGTGAGCGCTGAGAAACACGGAGGAGTAGCGCTAGCTTCATTCAGCAGTACGACCGGAGGAGCTGAAGAGACACACACACTCTCCCAAATCCATCTGAGAGCTCCGTGCACTGCATTGAGGGGTTGTTCTCTTTTTCTGAGCATCTCTGCCGTTTGATTATTACTGATGACGCATGTGAATGGAGTATACAGGACAGTGCATTCACACTAATGCACAGATGTGTTTTGACATTTCGGATGTCCTGTCTGTTTAATCCTTGATTAATTTCATTCATATAACCACTGCATATGTGTACAGCCTCATGCCCACGAGTGAACACATGAGCATTTGAAAGCTGTGAGCTGTCAGCCGTCTGTGAGTTCCGCGTATCTAATAAACTATCTAATTGCATTCCAGACAGCATTAACGATGTCTTTGCAGAGCGTTTGGAAGAGAAAATGCTGAAATACTGGTAAAATCACACATTGTAGGAGCTGGAACATCGGGCAAATTAAGCCTGTGATTGTCCTTGTAATTTGCTTCAACATTTCCGAACTTAATGTAATATTAGATACTTGTTCAAGGGTTTTGTGTAATTGGCAGCAACTATAATACTGCTGCCTCTAATGCATGAAAGTTTTTCATAAATTCTGAGCTTAGTTTTTACCACATTTGCAGAATCATTTAAGAGAGAATTGCGATGCATCAAATCTTTTTTTTTCCTCCCATCCCTTTTTCATGACTTATTTGATTGGTGTGCCAAAAGTGTGTTTTATAAAAATGTTAAGAGACTGCTGACATCCCGTTGTTCATGTAAGCTTTGTAAGGCTTCTG